ATACACACATCCACCATCAATCATACACATATCTCAAACATCAATCACACAACGTTGCACACAAAAATTCTATCACAATACAGTTACAATCAAGCCATTCTCATTAAATATACATCTTCCTACGTTCTATCTTAACCACATTGCATTATCTATCAATATAAATGGATTTAAAGACACAAAGAGATAGGGTAGAGTCCTCTGTACCTCAAATCGAAGACCCAAACACGAATTCAACCAAGAATGTGCTTCTCACATGAGTTTCATCCTAAATACATGGAAAACTCCATGAGAAATCGAAAGAACAAGGAAGAGGAATGGAAAACCAGAACCCTAACTCTTAGAACTTACCTCCAAGCATCCCAAACACAATTTCAACCTTTAATCCAACTCACGAACAGCTTTGGAGACAGTTTAATCGGTAAGAACGAGCTGATGGTAGAAAGAATCGAAAGAGAGATGAGTGAAAAGGTGGGAAATGAAGTTCCCCAAACCCTAAATCCCTCAAAAACTCTTTAAGTCGCGACACTCGCTATAACGAGACCTCGCTGCAGCGACTCTCCCTCTTGCTACAGCAAAAATCTCAGAGGAAACTGTACTCTGGTTTCTCCAAAATCTCACTACAACGAGACCTTCTCGCAACAACTATTCATGCACCAAAAAATGCACTCCTCTCTGTCGCTCTCTCGCTGCAGCGAGGGACCTCTCGCTACAGCGAGAGCGCAACAGATTCACGCCCTTCTCCCAAGGCCTTCTTGCTACAACGAGAACACCTCTACAGCACACACTTAGCCTATATATTCAATCAATCTAACCACATCCAATCTCTCAATACATAATTAACATCCACAATTATACATACATACATACATATATATATATATATATATATATATATATATTCATCTAGACATACTCACACACATTCTCATACATTCACATCATCATACTCGTCAATTACCCATTTACATGGAAATTCACAATTTACATTAATAACTCAAAAATATTATTATTATTATTACAAATTCTGGGGCGTTACAACTTGTGTGTGATTCTAATCGTAATTCTTATTTTGGCTTGATCACCCGTTTCATGAACTAGGGTTTGGAATTCTATCGAAAAACATTTTCTTAATCTGAATTGAATCATCACATTTAATAAACTCCCGTACTAGGAATAGACTTGGGTTTGTTTGCCACTTATATTCAAGTTATTGTTCTTAATGTAAGGTGTTATTCTTACTCATAAAGGAATCATGTTTTAAGATTAACTATCTTAAAACTTAATTTTGAGGGATCTGGTTAAGTTACTCAATGAATGTGGAAGTAAGATAGTTGAAATCACATTTGCTCATTGAAGATAAAAAGTGTTAGCAAGTGCATTTGAATCCAATCTCTTTCTTGCACAAGGTTTTTACTAAATTTTACTCTATTTGCTTTTACTTATTTTCATGCAAACCACTATTTCAACCATGTTTCCATTTCTATATATAAACAGAAAAGAAAATCATTATTATCACCAAATCCCTGAGGACGATATCAATTTACTACAATGAAACTTGGTCTGCTTGTCAAGTGTTACAAAAAATATCACCATACATACAATATTCTTTTCTTGTTCTTTATTCAACCACTTATTTGGCTTTCTTTTAGTCCTATGGTAAACCTTAATACATGTTGATTCTCTATTCAATTGAAACTTATAAAAAAGAATGATAAATAAGTGTTAATTAAGTACAAACTTTATGAAATAATAATAATTTTTATAGAGCGTATTACCATTCTCTTCACATGTTTTTTTAAAGATATTGGACCTCTATTGTGTACATTGTGTCCTTTAGCATGCCTGTTTTGCTTGATCTTTCTAGATTTTTGTCAATCTTCAACTTTCCATTAAGCCTTAAAATGTGCTTATTTATCCAATTGAATCCATGTATTATTGTCCTCATCATCACACATCTTATACACAATTTTAATAAAATAAATCCTTAGTGTTGAAACTAATTTAATATTTTTTCATCCTTGTTCAACCACTTAAAGTTTGCCTATATTAAAGATAAGGCAAACCTATGTTACATGAAGTATACAAATATAGAAACTATCAAAGTGAATAATACACAATTTACCTTAAATTCTTTGAATCACTTCATAATGGTGTCACCATCCACCTTTCCCCAAAATGTTCAAGTGCCTTCAAGTTTTCTTTTGAAAGATATGTGCAATAGCACCCCCTCAACTTATAGTTGGTGTAAAAGCCATAACTAAAAAAAATAGTGTAAATGAATAAAGTATAAACATAGATATATTAAATTTGATATCAATAATAGTATTTTAATTATTTATTCCTAAGTGTTAACTTGATCCAAATAAGTTTCTAAAATATTGTCTCACAAGAATTGTTTCTAATTACCAAGAATTTTTTATTTTAATTGTTTGAACTTAAAAGATGTGAAATTTAAATAAAAAAGGATTAAACATAAAACTAATTAAAAAGAAATAAAAAATAACACAATCTTTGACAATAAACTAATCGAGAAGAACAATCATCTAATAAGAGCCTATGACCTAACCTTTTTAAAGCCTAACAGACTTTGCCTATTAAGTTATAAGCTTAGTTTAATCTTTCTTAAAGGTTTAATTAATTGAATAGGTTAGGCTTAAGCCTAAGAAAAAGCCTATTAAACTTGATAGAATAGTCTATTTAAGACTCATAAAATTTATAATGATATATAAATAATATCATATAAAATTATAATATTATATTATATTAAATAAATTAAACTTAAAATAAATAAAATCTTGAATTAGAAACCCTAATCCTTTTCATTGAAATTGAAGAGTATCCTTATTATATACCCTTTAAGAGAAATAATGTCACTCGCTTCTTTTGCGTTAATGTTACTTGATCTATCTTGTAACGCCCTGAAATTTTGTAATATTTGATTATTAATATATATAAATATATGTGAATTGTTATATGTTGTTATGTTTGATTTATAAGATGATGATGTGAATACGTGTGTAGAAATATATATGGATAAGTCCATGAGTACAAGGGTATATGTTGGTTTGTGGTTGAACTGAAATTGTTAAGTATGATTGGAGCTAGATTGAAAATAGGCTAAGTGTGAATTGTAGAGGGATTCTCGCTGTAGCAAGAGTATCTTGGGGAAAGGAGTTGCGTCTGTTGCGTTCTCGCTGCAGCAAGAAGGCAATAGAGAAGGGTGCATTTCTAGGTGCAGTCTCGTTGTAGCAAGAGGGTCTCGCTGTAGCGAAATTCTGTAGAAACCAAAGTGCAGTTTCCTCTGAGATTTTTGTTGTAGCAAGAGGCGGTGTCGCTGTAGCGAAGGAAAGTTTTCTGCCATTATTTCGTGTTGGGTCTTCATTTGAGGTAAAGAGGGACTCTACCCTATTTCCATTTGTTTTGAATCCAAATATTTGCTATGAGTTACAATGTGGTTGAGTTACCCTAAACCCTAAAAGATTCTTGATAAAATGAATATTGGACATGTGTGAGTGTGGAATGGCTTGATTGTGGTGAGGTTCTAGGAAAATTAGATGTTTGTGTAATGTGATTGGATGTGAGCATATGTGTCATATGTGAAAGTGAATATTGTAATGTGATTGAGATTGTGGGTGAAACTATGTGTTAGCATGCCATTGCTTGATGCAAAATAATTGAATGGTTGGAAATGTGCGTGAATGACATATTGATGTTGATTGTGAATGTGTTTGAATATGTTGAAAAGTTATGAATGGTTTAGCGATACACTAGGGTGTAGAAGATGGAGTGGTAGAAATACTTTGGGGAAGAAAAGGTGGTGATAACACCAACAGTAAGCGTGGGTGTACCACAGGCTACACACTCTCCTCCTAACTCGGCCTCTGACTAACACTTTTACTAAGGGACTCATGACTACACACGTTCTATCCGTGAGGCGAGAGTTATCCGACGACTATTCATGGTGTGAAATTGAGTAAATCCCTGATATTGAGGGCATTAGGAAAATTGTGATCACAGTAAACGTGACTACGTGAAATGAACACACGTGTGTATGGAATGTTTGTTGGTGCAATGAACGCACTTATTTGTGAATTGAAATAGAATATATATTTTAGTCTTTAGTCTTTCTCTAAACTTGAGATTTGTTAGTAATATGAGTTGAATGATTTGTTAATATTAGTTGTTTGATTTGTTAATATTATTAATCAATCTCCTATGATAAGAATATAGAACAAATATTAATAATTTTGTTTTCAGTAAGTGAACTTGTCAAGAACACACACATGTATGACAGTTAAAGAAAACATGTTAAAAAATAAACAAATCTATTAATATAAGAAAACAAGACACCTTGGCTAAATTTTAAAACTTAAATATACTTTTAATTTCTATAAATGTATTTTTATTTAAATTTAATCTTTCAAAAATTATATTCTTAACATTTTAATCCTCAAATCCGTCACACTTAACCGTAACGTAACATATATTTAATCAATTCACATAAACGAACATTTTGAGTTAATATTTTTTATGACATGAATAAAAATATCATGTCAGCACTAAATGATGATGACAAATCATATTTTAAAAATTCCAGAATTTAAGAGAATCAAAACAAAGTAAAAGAAATAAAATAAAGAAAATCATAATCAAATTAAATCATATTTATAGGGACTAAATAAAAATCTGGGCTATTACATGTCAGGATTACAGAATATTGCATGTTTCAATCTTCAATATCCTTTTAAAACTAGATAGTGATTAAACCGTCTTCGGATTTAGAGTATTGCATCCCCTTGACGGAAAATGTAAGTGAAGTGATTACTTTGCTCCATATACAAGCAAGAAAGTCACAACATTTCCTTACATTTTCTGAAGACATTGTATCTCCAATTCTATTTATAAAAAATTACCAACATTTTTTAGATTTATGTTAAAAATAAAGTCACTCATTACTTACGTAGATAAATACATACATTCATTGGCCATTTAATATTATAGTAGGTATGTTTTGAATACAATATAAATTTTTGACATCTATCTACCTTTTATTAGTAATTATGCTTATTCAAAAGTCTTTTCTTAGATACAATATTTTCCACTCAACAGTCTCTGCTGGTAAGGTCAAAGACAAAAATAACTCAAACTAATGCAAGTTTAATATGAATAGAACAATATAAAAAGGATAAAAATCTTGACCAGTGATTGACATTTTCACTATCATAGAACAAAGCTTTATTTTGAATTCTTAATGGATGACCAAACAAAGTGAGTATGAAGTAACTAGTTCTAGCGAGCATCCTTGGATAAATGAAGATGCTCCACTTTTCGGGCATTGTGTAGCTCATCAGCACAATCACCACTCTCAAAAACAGCAGCTGCTCCCATTCCAGTACCTGCTCACAATTGACAATAACCAAACCATGATTCTTATGATGGATATTTAAGTGTGTGCAACCACGACCATAAAGTGAGAAAGTAGGTGTACCTATGCACATGGATATAACTCCAAATCGACAGTCCCTACCACGTTTCTTCATCTCATGCAACAGAGTTGCTACACATCGAGCACCTACCAAAAAAAATTGAAAAACATGCTTAGAAGACAATAAGAATGCCCTGGATTTAGGTATTTGACAAGCACAGGTAACAATAATAATGTTCCACGTTGAGTCCCAGTCAAGAGAGGGTCCGGATGTATGATGCCTTCTTGATATTCTTGAGATTTTGGGCGTAAGGTGAAGATTGTCTTAACCTTCATAAACTCTCCTTTGGCCATATCTGTAATCGACTTGGGATCTCAACAAATACTCTTAAGTCCTAAATGGTTATCGTACACATTGTGTGTCTGACACTACTTATTTTAGGTACACTAGGTACATACCCCTCAACACTCACCTGAAGGGTAGGTAATCTTGTGATTTAATTGCTTGTATTCATCATGTTCTATATCTCTATAGAATATATATATATATATATATCTTGCAATACCTGTACCCTAATCTTTTTAGATTTTGTCATACCCAGTAGGGTACACAGATGCGCTGTTACCAATCCATATGGTCAAAGTGGAGAATGATTGTATTTTATATTATTATTTAATTTAATTTTTATTTTAACATCATTTTATATTTAAGCTCAAATCTTAATTCTCAAGAATCTTGGATCGAAGTTTCAAAGCAAGTTACATTAGTTTTGCCTGAACATAAAGTTATATATATCATATACTATGAGCAAAATAACTATTAGTAGCACACCGACCACTTTACACATGGTAAGCCTTTAGCAGTAAATTCTGCTTTATGAGTATTGGCTACTTCAGCTTGCATAGGTATGGAAAGCTTCCCAAATTAAAGGGATACAAGTATCAGTGGTTTATACATGAGAATAGCTAAAAGCTTTAGTAATCAGAAGTGGTGTTGCTTTTGGAATGTAAGAATAAAGTTGTGAACATGTATGTACCTGTTGCACCCAGAGGATGTCCAATTGCCATTGCACCTCCATTAACATTGACCTTTTCTGGATCAAGCCCTAGCTTGTTACGGCAATACACAAACTGGGAAGCAAATGCCTGAACACAAGCAAATTTTTAAACTGAGTATATTCAAACAAAGTAAAAGGAAAATATAAACAACCGCATTAGTCAAATACCTCATTTATTTCAAAAAGATCAATATCATCAAGCTCTAGACCTGCAGCCTTCACAGCAACAGGAATTGCAGCAGCTGGGCCAACGCCCATGATAGCAGGATCAACACCAACTGCGGAGAAAGTCCTACATGACAGCCAACACATTCTCCAGATCAAAATAAAGCATAATTTTTATTTTTGGTACTTATCAATTCACATTTTAGGTACAGTGAAAATATAATTTATGATTGTTAGGACGTAATGCAACTCATCAAGATAAATATATAAATATGAAATTGCAGTTCCTGAAAGACATGCTTCACAAGTTGAATTCCATTAATTGTTGGTGTCTTCGCAGATAATACTGTAAAGGGATTGAATCTCACATTTAGGATTCTAATCTCATGCAACTTTTTAATTTTTCTCTAACATGCTTCATAAAATTGTATCTCACATACTATCTAGTCAGTACAGGTAGAAAAGTGGTAAATGTAGTATGAGATGGAACATGGTCCTATCACATAGTTGACAAAAAAGAAAATTGTTGGCAATTATATTTTTAATGTATTTTGAGCTATGTGATATCACGTTTGGTGAATTAAGCCCTCTAAGGTGAATACTTGTGACAGAGTCACTGGTAAAGTTGGCACAAAAATTGGTACAATCATAGTAAGACTTGAGAACTGTATAAATACACAAAGCAGAAGAAGGAACTAGAGATATCATATATGAAATTGTTAATAACAACATGCAAACAGGGCATTTTGGAGTATAGGAGGAAAATTAGCAAACAATGCAAGGGAATAGGGCCAATTTCAGGTAACGGGCCAAAGTTCATGTAGGGGGAAGAAGTAATAATGAGATGGAGGAGAAAGAAGAAAATTCTAACAAAATGGGGAAGGAATGATAATAGTGAGGGGAATACACGTAGAGGGAAAAGGGAAATTAGTGAAAAGTGGTGTTGTAAGGAGTTGGCTGTTTCTAAGGCTGGGACTCTTGAGTCTCTAGTTTTCAATATTTTCCTTCTTAATTGACTGTTTCTATTTCAAAAATTTGTCTCTGCTGTAAGGAGCTTGTTTTCATCTTTTATCAGCTAATACAGTTTTTATCAGAAACCTGTTGAAGTATAAATGTACATTGTTTAGCCATAAAAAACCAAGAAAAAGTACATCATTCTGACAAATTATCACTGATTTAATATTTGGCCAAAGTATATTTCATTTTCAATTTTATAAACTTTTTAACCACTTGATTAAAAAGGGGAAGTAGATCTATCAGCCCTTCCCTACTTCATAGAGCACCTGGCATGCCAATTTGAAATCAGTATATAAATATTGCCAAGGACAAAAGCTTTTCTATTTTACAGATTATGTACCTGAATACACCAAGAATGGGTAGCCCCTTTTGCACTGCAACACTTCTTTTCATCAACAGAACAGCTGCTGCACCATCAGTCACCTGGCTAGAATTACCTAAAAACCAGGCAATAAATGATTAGAAAAGGTATATAACTAACAAGAATTTGAGGGAACAAACAACAGTTTCATGATCTTATACCAGCAGTAGTGCTTCCATCTTTCTTGAACACAGGTTTAAGCTTCCCTAGATCAGACAATGTTGTGCTAGGTCGAATTCCATCATCAACAGAAATCGTGACAGATTTCTCCTCACCTGTTTTTGGGTCCACAATCTGCTGGGGGGGAAAATTTCATATCCAGCACCCAAGACCCCAAAGAAAAATTCAATATACCCTGTAATGGCACATACCTTGGTGGAAACTGGAATAATTTCATCTTTAAATTTGCCAGAAGCAGTAGCAGCAGCAGCTCGCCTGTGAGACTCGACCTACCAACATTATTGTTAGAAGATTAGGAGTTTTTAGAATACAAATAGATCAAAATGTTGCATGGAAAGATATATCCAACTTACTGCAGCCTGATCTTGTTCCTTCCTTGAAACCCCAAAGCGATGTGCAACATTTTCAGAGGTAATCCCCATAGGAAGAAGACAATTTTGGGCTTGTTCAAACAATTTTACCTGTCACAACACCAAAGTAAAAATCAAGACCTTGTAGCCAGTTCAGAGGTTTTATTTCCTGAAACCACAAATAAAAACAATGTTGGGGCAAAGGAGACAGAATGAGGAAAGAGGACAAATACTTTAGGATTCACTGATCCTTCCCATCCCATGGGATTACTTGTCATAGATTCCAAACCAGCACCAATACCTAAACAAAATAGTTAAAGGTAAACATAAGAGATACTAAAAGTTAGTAGTAAAAAACAATTTGATGCGTCATTTACCAATGTCATAGAATCCAGCTTTTATAGCTGCAGCTACATCAGCAACAGCTTGGAGCCCAGAAGAACATTGCCTATTAACTGTCCTAACAGGCACAGTTTCTAGATGGACAAAAAATCACATGTATAAATAAATAACCAGACTTATCTATCATAATCACAAACACAAATTATCTAGACACATACCAGGAAAGCCAGCATAAAATGCAGCCATTCGGCATTCACTAGCTCTCTGAGATCCAGGTGCCAATACAGTACCCACCACAATGTCACCAACTTCACCAGGGTTCAAGCTGGTTTTCTCTAGGACAGCCTACAAAAAAAAACCTCACCATCACATTAATGTAGATGGATATTCATTACATTAACGGAGCAGAATATTAACCACTGTACAAACTAAATGTACACAGGCCATCATTGCTTACATCAAGCAGTTATCCATTTCTCACTATTTAAATTTTAAATTGCAAAATAATTACAAATAAAAAGTGAAGAATACCTTCAAAACAGGAGCCAGTAGATCATCAGCAAGAGTGTCTTTGAAACCACCACGTTTGGATTTGCAAAGTGGAGTCCGATATGCACTGCAAATATATAATCATTCATTCAGACAAAAATTTATAGATCCTTCAAAAACACATGTTCGTAGCTCATAGCCAAAGACTATTATCAAACAAAAAATGCATTTAAAATGAGATACTTCATTTGAGTAAGAGTTGAACTTACGCCACAATCACGACATCATCCCAAAATGAAGATGTCCTTTGATAAGCAGCACTATCTCCCGCCAAACATGCAGAAGCCTAGTGATCAAATGTTCAACATAAAACACAAAATCCATCATTACCAGTTCAATTCACATCACACAAGTACAAAATACAAAAATATGTAGCCAAAGCCTAACAATCAATTAAGAAAACTATTTGTACCCAAAGAGTCAACTGGGAATTTTTCCCCCTCATGCCAAACACCTCATTCCAACACTAACGACCATAAAATGCATAAAAGATCAAAAGTTCTATAAATATCTGTGCTAAAATCAATCAAGAAAGCAAATTCGCAAATAAGTATCAAAAGGAGACTTTTCTCACATGCCAAGAAACCGATAAAAAAAATACATACATTCAAGACTAAAATTTCTACAAAATTTTGAGCTAAAAATCAATAAAGACAACAGATTCTGGCAAAATTGCCAAAAGGGTACTTCTCTCGCGTGCCAAACAACCAGTTAAACGAAAATAAATACATACAAGACCAAAACTTTTACAAAATTTAGAGCTAATAATCAATCAAGGGAACTGATTCTGGCAAAATTGTCAAAAGGGTGATTTTCCCAAACGCCAAAAAAAATATTAAGAGGGATTAGTCAAAAGCGGTAACGATGAAAAAGGAATAGTACTGAAGCGAAGTTGAAAATTGAAAAACAGAAAAAGCAGCGAAACTAACATAGAGGGAGGATGAATCATTGGGATTAATTGATGAAGAAGGGTTGAGATGGTGAAGCAGAATCTTCTGTCTGTTGATCGCTTTCTCCATCTTGGTTTTGTGTTTCGTGATTTGCGAATGGAAGCCAATTCCGATTGAGAGGGATACGAGAGAGATTGGATTTGTTCACTTCATAAATTGCTTCTATTTATTCAGCTTTTCACAGTTGGAGGAAGAATAGGAGGATAGATAATTTGTTCTTTGTTATATTATTATTAGGACAATATTGAGAAATTGTAAATAAAAAATTATTAAAATGTGTTATTAATATTTTTTATTTATCATAAATTTTAATATAATTTTTAACGTACTTTTTTTAAAAATTATTATTATTATTACTATAATATTAATATTAAGAATTTCAAAAAAGGTGACTGTAATAAAACAAAAATGTAGGAAGAAAAATGGGGTATGGCGCAAGAGGGGGACGCAATCACGATGAGAACGATGTTGTTGGTCTCCTAAAAAATGGCTAAGATTTCTACTCGAGGGTTTCGGCGCGTTGATTACTATTTTCGCTCATTTATTTTGAATCTAAATGAATAAACTCTTGTTTTAATACTTTTAACTTCTTGTTTGAAAAATACTCGCAATACATCATTTAATATATTTTTATGATTAATCATTATTTTTTAATTTAAATTATTTATTTTATAAATTAATTATTTTAAAAAACTAATTAATAATAATTTTTTTACATTATCTTACAAAATTTACTTTTAAAGTAATTTAATGTTCATCTTTATAAAATTTAAATATAATTAAAATATATTGATAATATACTTTTTTTATATTATCTTACAATTATGAATTGCCACATAACCGAACAATTTTTATGTTTGTTTCTAGTTGATGAATTTTCTATTTTCTTTCGCTCTTTATGTTTGTTTTAAAGGAAAAAATAAATTAAAATTTGAATCAAATGAATGAAAAATATTTTTATTTTATTTTTTTCAAATAAAAATATTTTAATAATTTTAAATTTTATTTAATCACATTTAAACCAATTTTTTTTACTTTTTTTTCCTTGTTTAAAAGAAAAAAATGCCGTGACTTATAAGGACTAATATTAGATTGAATATATTAAATTTAAGTCAGAATATTTTAAATTTTATTTTATTTTTCATTAATAATTAAATTATATAATATTCTCGTATTAAAAATTAGTTTTTATTCATTTTAAATATTTAAAATTGTCATTTTAATTTATACCATCTTAAATAGAACAGAGAAGGAAACATAGGAGGTATATCCACGTGGTAAAGGGCGCTTGTAATGATACAACTTGGATTATGGGAATGCGTGCCATTTTGAGTAAGCAAATGTTATGTTGCTACGCAAGGGACACGTATGTAGATAAACCCTAGCGATTTTCCCTTCGTTTACTCTCCCTATTGTTTAAACATTTGAAGAATGATTATGTGAATGAAATTGTTTAAAGTCATTATTTTTATTTTTTAATTTTATTATTGAAAATTATAATTATTATTAATAAATGTGAAAATCATGATATCCTCGGCATTTTCACATAACTATTCCTTATTATAAATATAACTTAGGTAATTATATACAAAAGAGTGGAAAAAATAGTTCGAAATGAAAAGTTAGAATTTTTTTCTCAAGTAATATACTATAATCATCTAGCATATGATATTCCATTAAAAATAAGTCAATATTAATAAGTACTTTTAAAAATTTATAAGAAAATTATTTTAAAAATCATAATTTTTAATGTAGTATAATGAGATTATTGATAAAAAATTACTGTTATCTCGATTATCAGTGTCCTTGAAACACTTATAAGTAAAAATTTTAAAAATAAAATTTATTTTAAAATATAAATTTAATTACACTTTTAATCCTTAAAACATATTAATAATTTTTGCTCCTTTATTTTTAATTTTTAAAATTTAATATTTTTAATATTTTAAATATTTAAATTAAATTTTCTAATCCAAAATTTTATTCAACAAAATAAATACAAAATATTACAAAGGTATGAAAGATTTAATTTGAATATTTAAAAATATAAAAATTTAATTAAAAATTAAATGGACTAAAATTACGACTGCATTAAAGTATAAAAACAAATATACAATTAATTTTAAAATATAATATTAATTTTTAAATAATAATGTAACTTACATTAGAATTTAGAAATTAAAAGAATTAGCAACGAAAAAAAAATAAGTTGATTTAAATTTTTTAAAAGTTAAACTTGTTTTAATTAATTAAATTCAAAGCGCTTATTTATTTGATATAAATTTAAATATAAATCAATAAATTTAAGCTTTTAAATAAAATAAATATATAATATTAAAATATTATTATTTTTATGTTTACCTTCATCATTTATATTTATCCATATTTATTTAAATATGTTGACGTGTTAAGTATCAAAGGCTTTTTAGCTTACTCAAAGTTTAGTCTTTTTTAACTAAACATATTTTAAGAAAATCTAGGTCTAATTTAGAGATATCAACGAGACACAATAAACATGAATAGTAAGTGTTTGCTACTTGCAGTTATATTTGCTCCAAATCTTGACTTTTTATATATAAATTAAAAAGTATTAATTATTCCTTAAATGTTTTGAAAAGAAAAAAAATTATATAGATATCTTAAAAGTTCATATAATAGAAAATCGATTACTTTTATTGAAATTTTAAAAATTTGTTACACAAAAATTGTTTTAAATTAAATTTTATTTTTTATACAGAAGTTGATTTAAATTGACTTTTATTCTGATTTAAAAATTTGTTTATAAAAAAGCCAATTTAAATCCACATTCACTCACATATGGATATATTTTAGAAAGAAGTTAATAATGATTTAGATAGATATGTATAGTAGATTTTTAATTTTATTTATGTCAAAATTTTAATTATCAAAGTATAATAAATTAAAATTTTGCCAAAATATAGGGTTTCTATGTAAATAAATTAATTTAAAATATTTATTACCTAATTGTCTTGTTAAATACGTTTATTATTCTATTCTGAATTTGTGATAATGAAAGTTAATTTTAATGGACTTTGCTTAAAATTTTGCATCCAAATGGATGAGACTAATTTGAGCAAAAAAAAATTATGTAAATTATGTAGGGGTACCAGTCACAACAAATGGACATTGGACATGTTCACATACTCTATCTTCTAACTAACATAATTGATTCACTATGTTATGTAGTAAAACTAATATTATTAAGTTTAATTTATTGTAGTATATATGTTTATCGCTTTATTTTTTCTTACATTAAGAGTAATATTTTTAAGTTTATGTAACTACTTTCTTAAAAAAAAATTGTTATCTATCACCTTATGCTTATCATCTTTTGATACATTTTATCTATCGCCTTGTTATCTACCATCTTTTGATATATTTAACCAAGCTAAGCTAAAATATATAATTAATATTTCAAAGTATATAAAATTTAAAGTCAATTAAAATTAAATGTCTTACACTACCATACTTTAATAATTAAAAATAACTAAAGTCTATAAAATTAAAAGAAAAAGTACATAAAATTAAAAGTCCTCAACCACCATGCTTTAATAATTAAAACTTTTACATAAACCAAATCAAAAGTTTACAATACATATCCATCTAAATCACTGTCAACTCCTTTTTAAAAATATCCATGTGTGAGTGAAAGTCTATTAAAATAACTTATGTATAAATAAATTTAAAAAACATAATGGAAATCAATTTAAATTAACCTCTATTTAACAAAAAAATTCAAAAATAGAATGGGAGTTAATTTAAATCGATTTATATGTTAAAAAAATTTCAAAAATAGAATCGATTTCTGTGTATAAAAAAATTAAATCTACAATGAAAATTAATTTTTGTGTAAAAATTTTTAAAACTAAAATAAAATTCAATTTAAATCAACTTTTGTATAACAAGTTTATAAAATTTTAACGAAATTCGATTAAAATCAACTTCTATTATATGAACTTTTAAGATATTTGTGTAATTTTTTATTTTCAGGACATTTAGGAAATAATTAATATTTTTAAATTTATTTATGAAAAAAAAGCCCCAAATCTCTATATCCATGAATATTTATTTAAAAAATATTAATAATAATTTGATTTAAATCTTAAAAGTTATAATTGAACAAATACTTTAAATATAAAAATTACAAAATATTAATAATATAACACTAAGTCAAACATATATCAAAATTATTATAAATAAAAAAAAAGTTAGGATCACATTTACTTTAACCATAGAAAAAATCGTTTAGTAAAATTCATATATAAAATTTTTTATTTATAACAAAGTTTTACATGTACATATATATAACTGTAAGTAATTTTATCATTTCTAACATAACCTAATCTAACCCTAATTTAGGCTAAGCCTTAAATAATTGTATTAAAATTTCTTATATAATTCTATATCAAAATATTTTTTTTATTATGTAGGTTCAATTGCACTTTTAATTTATGTAATTTAGTTATATATAACTTTTATAATTGTTTAAATTAAATCTTTTATCAGAAAATATTATTTAATAGATAATAAATATATAATGTGCAAGAAATTTTAAAAAAATAAAAATATTTTTATTATATTTATTTTACTTTATTTTAATATTTTATAGTTTTTTATTAGTTTATATAAATTAATCCTACGTTGCACTTTTGTTATATTCATTTTATATTATTTAATAAAATTTTGAGTTGATAAAATATATAGATAGACTAAGCATAACTTTAAGAGATGGATTAAACCTATTATATATCATTAAGTTTTATTATTATCTAGATTATGCATTTTTTTATTCTAATTACATTTTAATACTGAAACTGAATAAATACACACTATATTAAATAAAACTTAAATTTTAAACGGTAAATATGGCCGGTCTAACTAATGTGTAAGCCTAAAGTAAATTTTTAAGGTCTTTTTAAATTATATAATACATTAAAATTATTGGTTATTTTATTTGTAAATTTCTTTTAAATTTTTTAAGATGCAAAATCATTTACTAAATTCTTATAATCGATTTCATTTATTTTTTTATTAATATTAAAGTCAATTTATTTAATTTTGTTGAGATATAATTGATGTTAAGTAATATTTTATTAATTTTAAGTTTATTTGTTGATATTATTTTATAAATATTATGTGTATAGATAACTAACATTTATGATTGGTATGTTGATTTTGGCTTTTTTACCATA